CTTGTTGACTGGTCCTTACATAAACATTTATAAGATACAAGATAAGCAACAAGGGAAGTTTCCAGAGAGTAGAAATATGTAAATATAATATAAATATAAAAAGGAATAATCTGTACATAAAACATAATAAATATCTCACTACAATATTAAGAATGCATACCAATAATAAGATTGATTCCCATATGCAATAATATAAGCATACATTTTTCCACATTGTGTCGCGGTCGCACGCAATTCTGGCCTTAACTACTCGTTTCATGATTTTTCAAGATACCTGAATGATCTATTTTTTGGTCGTTGAGGTACAGCTTGCACCACGCTGATGAGGGCCAACAGCCCGAAACGTGTCCGTGGTTAGCTTTCCTTGATTAATCAAGAATGGGTATTTGGCCAATTCTGGAATAATGAAAAAATCAACGAGAATAGTTGATATTTATTCCGATAGATGGCGCAAACCATCATCAACTTTCAGTTGCACGATGCCTTTTTCATAAAATAAGCATACTAGTTATTCTATTATTCAAGGTTAGTTATAATAAAACATTTTCTGTGTGTTAACATTCATTACATTTTCGGCTAACGTTTCATTATACATGGGGATGTATGAAGGCAATGTTTATGTAATTAACTAATTAGACAACACTGCCAACTTTATTTTTTCTTTCTTTTTACTCTGTGAGCGCTTTTTAATAAATGAGTAGCAGACGTGACCGAGTTTTGTTGTAGGCAATTTGAATATCTCTCGCTAATGGCTTATACCTTGAGATTAGAAGTGTTCGCTATGGGGGGAATAAAGAAAGAGAAAATTTTGAATGTCAGTAAATATAGATGTATATAATAAATAAATACCATTTTTAAAGTAGAGTTTACATATTGTCACGGTAGAGAAGATAAAAATTCCAAAAGTTTGTGTTAAAAATTATTAACAAAATCTATATAAACACAAAACATGATAATAAATTTTACAAGAGATAATCTACAAAAAGGGGTAGTGTGACGTAGCTATATATTTTAGTTGATAAACAAATAACAGAGTATTCGAAACTATTATAGACGTGTATTTATTCTTTTGAAAATTAAACAATTTCTACTGTCCTTACTGTAATGGAAAAATTAATGGAATTAATTCCATATTGCAGTAAGGGCATTAGAAATTGTTTAAGAAATTAATGAAATTTCTGTTTTTAGAGTTACTCTCAGCAGGAATAGGGACGATTATTTATGTTAGAAAATATAGAAAAATAATTAGGAGAAACGATAATTTATACAAAAATACATTGATGGACAAAACTTGAGGAAGTTGTAACTTTCAGCATGTATATCGGGATTTAGACAATAACTCTGAAAGATATTACAGTGACCTTTATTGAAGCCATACGAGATAACCAAGTGTGAACAGCCTCTGTCTTCTTCTTCTCCAAAAACTAAGACTTTCCACTTCCTTAAATTTTGTCCATGAGCGTACGTCATAAGTGAACGTCATTGATAATGAGATACAAACTGCTTGAAATAGAAGGATATAATTACATAAAAGAGTCAATCAAAAACACCAAATTGTTCCTTCGGAGAAACTGAACAAACTTCACCTTATCTATGACTGTCCGAACTTTACAGAAGTGAGATTGTTCCCTGATCTAAATGATTTAACTCTCTTACATCAGCCACTTTTTCTATATAAATTTTATAAACTCTGTCGAAATAATATATGTAAATTTGTAAATATTTAATTATAAGTTGTAATGTGTTTGTTTCCTCTGTAATAGGTGCAAATATTTCAATATCGCGCATTCGGTTGATTAATAAATAAATAAATAATAGAGGGATATAATTCATAAAATTCTGCGATATTGTTTTTTAAAATGTTCTACTGCTTAAAAATTATCATTTTTATCATTTATTCCTTTGGCACACACCAGAATATATTAGAGCGGATTGTGTGATAGAGGAGTGGTCTAAACCATCGATTTTATACAGCCGACCCGGGATCGAATCTCGCATTGGACACTTTTTTTCTGAAGAAAAAATTGCTTATTTAGTCTCAGATTTCTCCTAAATTCAAAGTCCATCAATGAGTGTAAGTAACTTAACGGGACTCCGACACACTTATAAGTACAAATGTCGAACTGATTTCTTCATGTGTAAAACTGACTTTACTATGTGTATAAAGCCATTGATCTTATGTAAATTCTACTATGTAAATAATGCTATGTAGTTAATGTCTGAATAGTTTTAAAACGAACATATGTAGACATGTGATGTGCTTACAGGTTTTCTTTCCTCTTTTCGCTCTACACTTCTCCTACCCATATTTCCAAAAAAAAATTTTTTTTTTCCAAATCCATATTATTATTTTCTATAGGATTATTCAAATAATAATCTGTATATATTTACCATGTGTATATAATCTTTCTCCATTTTTACCCCTTTGTATATTTCCCACTTTCATGGGTTTCTTCGTCTTGTAACCCCAAGGAGAATCCTCTGTAAGACCTGTGTGTCTTAATAAAAGTTTTTTTGTGTGTGTGGTGTGCTTACAGTATAAGCAGTCACTAACTACTACCCTTGACGACATGTACAAAATGTGTGTACTATATAAATATATAGATAATAATTTAAAAAAAACTATTTTCCTTAAAAACCTCCGTGGTCAATTTATGTATATGACGTCTTAATAAAGGCTTGGAGTGTCTGTTTCTATGTTCTTGATTTCCCTAATTATAGAAACCAGAAAGAATCATTCTACACGTTAATAATACATTCTGAATAAAACAACTATTTCTGGAGATCAAAAATATTATTTCCAAAAAAACACGATATTTTTACCTTTAGATTCAACTCAAAACACAAATATTTGACAACTCCCAGCTTATTTTAAAAGTAAATAGAAAAAAATAAACACTCGTGATAAATATTAAATAAATAAATTATATAACAAAAAAGTTTTCGTATTCATCCCTACAGCAATCAGATATCTAGACGTTGTATCAAGGAAAAAGTGTGCGCAGACGTGAATATTTATGGCGCCATGTTCCTAGGCCTATTGTGTGCAGCCGATATATCCCCATCGTCTGCATACCAATTATTCTACTCAGCAGATTACGTTTGTCTTTAAATAGCATTGAACCTGTCGCACATAACAACATTCTTTTGGGGATAATTAAAGCAAACAAGGTTGCCAGTTGTTTAACATCCAATTTCCGTTTAAATAGAAAATTAAACTTCTACATCGAACGCTTTTACCATCTGTGTACCTCATTGTCGCCCTTTTTTCAAAAAGTACTTAAAATTGAAATATAAGATTTATAAAATGATATCTATAAAGTTTATATAGAGGCAAAATGATTTTAGAAACCTGTAAGTTAATGAATTTAAATTTTATACTCTTTTAGTTTTTTTTATTTATTTTGAGAAAGAGTTCTTTCAAAAAGGATTACATTGGGTTTGAAGAACAAAATTTATAAGGCAAAAGATTACTGTTCAATTTTATATCCACCCGATAATTCCAACTTGAAAAAAAAAGGTGAAATTTTGACTAAATTTCCTAAATGTTATTTTAACAGCTAGATGATTGTATACAGTAGAACTAGCTCCCTGTAAAGGACAACACCTAATTGCAGAGCCAAAATGTCCTTTAGGGAGAGGTGTCCTCTTACCGGAGAGTTTCTTAATAGTAAAAATGGTAATTTTACAAATGAAAACTGTCCTTTATAGAGAGGTGTCCTTTAGTGCGAGTGTCCTCTCATGGAGGTTCTACTGTACTTATTTATAACAATGACACATTATAAATTTGTATTTAAATTATTGTTTTTCACATATTTCAATATAATATATGTAGTACCAAGCGCCATTACACTTTCAATCAAAAGATTCCTTTTTTTCCACAGCAGAAGATACCTTAACTGCCCTACCTCCCGTTTAAAAAACGAAATATAAGAAATACTTACATAAAAGAAGTCTATCAGAAACACCAAATTGTTCCGGCGGAGAAACTGAACAAACTGTTCTTCACCTTATCTATGACTGTCCGAACTTTACAGAAGTGAGACATCGTTTGTTCCTTGATCTAAATCATTTAACTCTCTTACATCTTTGTCTATATAAATTTTATGAAATCTGTCGATTAATCCATGTAAATTTGTAAATATTTAATTACCAAGTTTTAATTTGTTTGTTGTTTTGTTTGTTTCCTCTGTAATAGGCGCAAATATTTTAATATCGCGCGCCTGGTTGATTAATAAAATGAAAATGAAAAATGAAAGATGACTAGAAAACACTTAATGGTTGCTATGACTTAATTCCAAGACTACTTATAGCTGATTACTTATTTGTTTTGACGCCCCTTCTTTTGTTTACCCTCTCTTTGGATTCACAAGAATTAACCTATCCAAGACGATATGTGTTAACAAAAAAGACTATGTAAATATAATCTTCGGAAACATTCAGCAAATAAGCTTTTTCATTGTTCATCTTTACAATTAAGAGAGATTTTATAATATGATAAAACAAAATCATTCAAATTGCTGTCGATAGATGGCGTTGTTTCTCTGTAATAGAATATTCGTCTGCCAAGAAATACAACGTTAACCAAAAACGTAAAGATAACAATCCACCAAACGAACGAATGATTAAGTAGAAGGAAGTATGTAAACCTGCCAATTATGCAAATAGGGGGAGTGAAGGTGGAGCGGAAGTCATCAGTGATCGATTTAATCTATAGTCAATTTTTTATGAGGTTGGCAACCCTAGCTATAGAGAGAGAATATATTTCCTTCATTTTCACTGGATATAAACTCAATATTATATATAAATTTGCATAAGGATGGTGTTGTATATAGTTATAATCTGTGCTACAAAAGATCTGGCAACACAGTATGTAAACAACGCCGCATAATAAATATATAATTGTTCTAGCACGGCGGTATATTAATTGTCTATATACATAAAGGCTGTAACTATATTAAATATATATAAAGCTAAAGGTAAATGAACCCGTATAAAAGATACAACATGGTGGCAGCGCCGGGATTTTGAAAGATAAGTAAAATTTCAAATATCAATTAAGCCTAACACGTTGAAAAATGGCCTCGAGTACCGGGAATAGTTTGCAGCCATTTGTGCCTGGAACAAACCCATCAGAAGCATGGGGTAAATGGAAAAAGAGATTCCAAATGTTTTACATAGCCACAGAAATAGATAAAAAATCTATTCCAAGACAAAGGGCTATTCTACTCTATAATATTGGTGAGTTAGCCCTAGATATATACTCTACATTTAAAATACAAGAAACTGATGCCTCTCCGACTGTTCCGGATATACTTGAACTGTTTGATGGACACTTTAAACCATATAAAAACACAACCTATAAGAGGTACCAGTTTTTTACAACGGAACAAGGGGAGAATCAGAATTTTGATGACTATGTAACTGAATTGAAAAATAAAAGCATGGACTGCGAATTTGGAGAGCTTGCAGATTCCTTGGTCAGAGATAGAATTATAATTGGAATTAAAGACAAAGCTTTAAAAGAAAGGATGCTACAAGATCCTGATCTTTCTTTAGCTAAAGCCATAGACTTGGGAAGAGCTACTGAAACTTCTAGACAACAAGTAAAAAATATAACTAGAGAAGATGTTGATTTACATTCTATAAAATATAAAAAGCAATATAAAAAGAATTTCAAATATCCAGTTGGTAGAAAACCTAATGTATCTGAGGAACATCCTAATGCAAAGGTTTGCCAAAATTGTGGTTCCAGACATCCATATGGTAAATGTTTTGCATATGGTAAAATATGCAATTCATGTAAAAAACCAAACCATTTTGCTAAAATGTGTAGGAACAGAGTGCATATGTTGGAGGGAAGAGCGGAAGAGGAAGAAGAAATGTGTCTTCAATACCTATCCCTAGATAGCATTACTGGTCTAGAGTGGACTAAAATAATCTTGGTGGAGAATAATTCAGTTAATTTTAAATTAGACACAGGAGCACAGGTGAACATCCTGCCATTGGATACCATTAAAAATTGGCAAAATAAACCCTGCATATATCCAACTGGGATTGCGGTTTATTCATATACAGGAGAAAAAGTACCAATAAGGGGCAAATGCAAGGCTTCATGTACCTCTGGGAAAAAATCTGAAATCCTTGAATTTCTAGTCGTGGATTTGCCAGCTCCACCAATTTTGGGATTGGCAGCGTGTAAAAAATTAGAGCTGATATTAAAAGTAGAGTCGTTGGAACAGGACCATACTAGGACAAAGATGGATGCTTCACCTACAAAGATAATAGAGTCCTACAGAGATGTCTTTGATGAGATCGGAACACTCCCTGGAGAGCATTCTGTGATCCTGAGAGAAAATGCACATCCAAGAATTCAGTTAGCTCGCCGAATTCCGTTTGCACTGAAAAAACCAGTTGAGATGGAGCTAAAATCGATGGAGGAACAAAAGATCATCTCAAAGGTAGACCAACCAGCAGAGTGGGCACACCCGATGGTAATCATTAAGAAACCAAATGGAAAGGTTCGTATCTGTATGGACCCTAGAGAGCTAAATCCATGGATTAAAATGGAATATCGTCAACTTCCTGCCCCTGAAGGCATCATTGCTGATATCACAAAATCACCCATCTATACAGTACTTGATGCTAAGTCAGCCTTTTGGCAAATCAAGTTAGACGAAAAGTCATCTAGCCTTTTAACAATGGCTACACCTTATGGGTATTACAGATTCCATCGGTTACCTTTTGGTATTTGCAGCGCTCCAGAAGTTTTCTATAAAAAAATGCAAAGTATGTTTACAGGAATTGAAGGAGTAAAAGTATACATGGATGATATAATAATATACGGAAACTCCCTCACGGAGCACAATAGTAGACTGATTACGGTTTTGGAAATTGCTAGAAAAAATAATTTAAAGTTTGAATTCAATAAAATGCAACTGGCCCAAGAAAAAGTTAAGTTCATTGGACATGAGATATCCAAGAATGGCATCTCTGCAGATCCATCTAAATTAGAAGCAATACAAAAAATAAAAAGACCAATGGACAAGACATCTCTTCAAAGATTTTTGGGAACTGTGAACTATCTAGCTAAATTCATGCATAATCTGGCAGATAAAACTGTCTTGTTAAGACAACTCCTAAAAAAGAATACCCTGTGGACATGGAATGAGGCTATAGAAAAAGAATTCATTGAGCTGAAAAATTTGGTATCAAATCCTCCAGTTCTTGGCCTCTTTGACCCCCATCGGAAGGTAACACTTTCAGTGGACGCTAGTCAACATGGGCTTGGGGCTGTCTTGATGCAAGAGGGAAGACCCATCGCTTTTGCATCCGCATCCTTGAATAACACTCAGAAAAAATATGCCCAGATTGAAAAGGAGCTCTTAGCTCTCTGGTATGGATGCCAAAGATTTAACTATCATTTGTATGGAAGAAAGTTCACAGCCCAGACGGATCATAAACCCTTGTTGGCTATACTAAAAAAGCCACTAGAGGAATTATCGCCAAGACTTGAAAGACTGGTCTTGAAATTGATGCGATATGATTTTAATTTAGAATATGTACCAGGAAAAGTGATTCACACCGCAGACACTCTATCTAGAGATTCAATTTCAGAGGAAACCATCGACACCTCAGATCTGGATCTCCAGAACACCATTATGACTCTAAATCTGAAGGTGACCACTAAAAGATACCAGGAAATTCTCAGAGATATGGAGTCAGATGAAGAAATGATAAAATTAAGGGATCATATACTGAATGGGTGGCCTATTCATAAGAAAAGTGTGGACTATGCTGTTAAGCCCTACTGGCATTGTAAAGAAGAACTATATATATGGAAAGACCTGATTTGTAGAGGACAAAGACTTGTCATCCCTAAAGTCCAAAGGGAAAGCATCTTGCAAACACTACACATGTCTCATCAAGGGATCTCTGCTTGTAAAAACAGAGCACATGAAGCTATTTATTGGCCTGGACTGGATAGAGAAATAGAAGAGATGGTTTATAAGTGTAGAATTTGTCAAGAATCACAACCTTCGCAAAGGAAAGAACCACTTATACCTCACGAAATAGCAGACTACCCTTGGCAAAAAGTAGCTATTGATTTCTTCTATCTAGACCAATCTGTATTCATAATAATAGTAGACTACTACAGCAGCTTTCCTGAAGTCATCAAGGTAGCATCAACTTCAGCAAAAGAGATTCTACCAGTTTTGAAATCTACCTTCGCAAGACATGGGATTCCAGAGATCATCATCACTGATAATGGACCACCATTTACATCACAAGACTTTACTAATTTTACAAATGAATGGGACATAGAACATAAAACCTCTAGCCCAGGATACCCAAAATCAAACGGATTAGTGGAGAGGATGGTGCAAACAGTAAAGAAGCAACTTAAGAAATGCCGTCAAGACAACACTGATCCTTATATGTGTTTAATAGCCCTGAGAACAACTCCGTCAAATAATCTACCGTCCCCAGCTCAGATGCTAATGGGAAGAAACTTGAGAACCTTGATCCCAATGAAAACCACAAAGCTAAAACCTGCTTTCATTAGCACGGAAAACATTCTACAGCAGAAGAGGGAAAATCAATATAAGATGAAAGAATATTATGACCGAAATGCCAAAATACTTCCTAAAATGAGTTCTGGTGAACAGGTAAATGCCAAAACTAGCAATGCCTGGAGACCAGCTACCATCATTGGAGAAGCCAACCAGCCTCGATCATACATCATTCAGAACAACGAGGGCCGAATGTTAAAACGGAACAGAGTTCACCTACGGCCCAGAAGTTATCCTGTTGGACAGAGAAGGAGCAGCCAGTCATCGCCCCAATTGGATCCAGCCCCCTCGACATCATCGGAGTCCAGTGGTCAAAGGGAACCGGGAGAATTTCCCCGCCTGAACCTCAGTCCTGAAGAGTTGGCCCCATCCACTTCAACTCCCATAGGAAACTACAATGAAGGAGGCACTGCCTACACCACTAGAAGTGGACGTGTGGTAAAGCCTCCGAAAAGATTCGACCCCGGACTTTAATTAAAAGGGGAACATGTTGTATATAGTTATAATCTGTGCTACAAAAGATCTGGCAACACAGTATGTAAACAACGCCGCATAATAAATATATAATTGTTCTAGCACGGCGGTATATTAATTGTCTATATACATAAAGGCTGTAACTATATTAAATATATATAAAGCTAAAGGTAAATGAACCCGTATAAAAGATACAACAGATGGGTTCATGCACCAAAAGATGCAACTCTATTGTTAAATACGCATTAGAACACAATGTCTTATGTTTATGACTCCAGTAAAAAAACTTGAAGATGATGATAAGGAATTAGCCACAATACCACTCAATATTCTGTGATAACAAAATTTTATACGTTTATTTAAAGCAATAAAAACAAATTTATATAAAAGGGCGTACCTGGATCTGTAAAGAAAAAAAAAAACAATTTTTTTCTCAAAATATTGCGAGAGGTTGCTCCCTCTTTATCAATTTATTGTACATGTTTACGTTTTATTTTATTTTTTATTTTTTTGTATCATATAGAGTAGAACCTCTATGAGAGGACATTCACACTAGAGGACACCTTTGTAAAGGACAGTTTTCATTTGCAAAATTACCATTTTTTACTAATTAGCAACTCTCATTTGGCTCTGCAATTAGGTGTCCTTTACAGAGAGGTTCTACTGTATTTGAAAATTATAATTGCATAGTTTCTTATTTTAAGTTTTTAATATTTATTCTTAAATTCAAATATGGATACACTATAAACAAACATATGACATAGAAAGATATAACTTAAATGTATATTTTATAAAACTAACGTTTTTATAGTTGAAAAACAAAGCGGCTTGATTTATTGGACAATACCTAAAATTACATCTTCAAATAATTTTCCTCAATTTCTATGATTATCTTTATAATTTAGCATGACTATTGACCAGGCTCTGTTGTAAGAACCAGTTGACATTTTGACAACAAAATTAGCTAGTATTTATCCGATCATTTTTGTCATTGTTGTTTGCAATAAAAAATCTACTCCAACTCAAGACTTTTTTTACATTCTTATCTGAATGTTTTTAGCATGTGCAAATTTTGGCGAAATTTGCATACTCTATATGCAATACTTTCTACCAATAGGAATATGTAAATGAGAGACATCAAAAACATAAGCCCTACGAAACCTGGCTCGTTTCAGTGGTTCAAACCTTTGGTTTTCAAGATCTTCTTGAATTTTCAGTATTGTAATGCACAAGTCCTCTTATCAGAACCCTTAATTTTGTGTCTTCTTCATTTGTAAAGAAATGGTTGAAGATTAGACTAGGAAAAAGTCATTTTTTGCCATAAATATACAATGGTTAAGAGGGCTTCATAATATAAGGTATTCTTCAATTGGTAAAAATATCTAAATTTTAAAAAGGTGTACCTACACCCATGGAGAAAACTTAAAGAAGTGGAAAGTCTTTGATATCGACAATCGTTTTTTTTGAAAGAGACAGAGGCTGTTCACACTTGGTTATCTCGTGTGTCTTCAATAAAGATCACTGTAATATCTTTCAGAGTTATTGTCTCAATCCCGATATACATGCTGAAAGGTACAACTTCCTTAAGTTTTGTCCATGAGTGTATATTATCATTAGAAACAATATATAGAAAACTAAGCATAGAAGAATTTGGATCAAAGTGAAAGAACAATATTGATTTGTCTACAGGAGTGGCATTCAAGAATACAATATGCAAATTAAGGATGTTTATAAATGTGGTAGAAAATGACGATTCAATATGGCGGACATTTGTTTTCAAAAGATACGGCCTTTCAACATGATGATAATGGTAAAAAAAAAAATTAGGGGTTTAACAGGCAAGTTATTTGTTTGATTAAAATAAAAAAATGCGTTTTTGTGCCTGCCAAATCTTCTCCAAATGATACTCAATTCGTGTAATTATTTATTTAATTTAATATTTGAAAAATGTAAAATATATGTGTATTATTTATTAAATACTTGTAGACATGACTCATTTTTACATAAATAAAAAAAAACAATGATATATTTGGTCAATAAAAATGACAAGTCAAAGTCACCAATGGTTTATTCTAACCATTGTTCGATATCTATGATAATTCTTTAAATCAATTTGACCATGGACCCAGCCCAGTTATGTGACCTTTTTGTCGTGAGAACCAGTTAACTTCCTGACAACACAATTGACCAGCGTTGTCCTATCTTTTGTCACCTTTGGTACACAGGGTAGCCAAATAAATTATGTGGATTGATCCACTCAATGGTGATTGCTCAACATGGCGTCTGGAATTGGTGCCAATGGAACTGCCATGGCTTAAAGCCGAGAGGTCTCCTGCTATAACTCTTAATTGAAAAATTAATTACATATTGTCCTGGTGTAGTTATTTATTACCAGTTTCAAATAAGACACGCTATATACGATCTGGATAATTGCGCGTGAAACTATTTACAATAATTGTAGTAGAGTAGGTATCAGAATTATCAAAAAGAGAATAAACAATTAAGAAAAAGATCATTGAATAAAAATATCCATTAAACACACATACACACACATAAAAACCTTTATTAAGACACACAGGTCTTACAGATGATTCTCCTTGGGGTTACAAGACGGAGAAACCCATGAAAGTGGGAAATATACAAAGGGGTAAAAATGGAGAAAGATTATATACACATGGTAAATATATACAGATTATTATTTGAATGATCCTATGGAAAATAAGAATATGGATTTGGAAAAAAATAATTTTGGAAATACGGATGGAAGAAGTGGAGAGCGAAAAGAGAAAAAAAAACAGGTATTTACATATGGAACATACATTTAATGGAACAAGTCAATTTAAGCTCTTCTGCTCACACAGCACAGGTGGACCATGGCTTTTTTCAAGAAATCTTTAAGAGATTTTCCAGGAAAATCCGAGTGGCATATACATTAAACAAATAAGCAACAACATAAGCAGATAGAAGAAACCACAAGGTAGTTATTTACAATATGTTAAGCAATGATGGAAGTTGATGAAGTTATCTGTAATGTATCGTGGAGAGAGAAATTTGATCAAGTTGAGCTGGTGTAATTAATGATTCATTCTTTACCTATTACCTTTACATTTTGTACTTAGGGCGATAAACAAAATGGTTTTAATGCATATTTAAAGGGAGAGGTGCCTTATTTAATACATGAATATAATTCTCCCACAACTCTATATATTCTACAGGAGTATACAACGAAATCAATCCTAATCTTCAACTACTATTTATATCTTGTACATTATTTACATATCTTTAAAAATTTGCTGTTGCTCTTGTTGATTCATATTTACCTCGATACCAACTTGTGTGTTCACACTCACCTATTTTACATATATAAACGCCTGTCTATATGTATATATGATTCGTTTCATTCAGTTATCATATGAACAAAACAGCCCAATGCAATAGAAGAAAATCACAAGACGGGGAAAAGAGCTTCTTACATTTATAAACAGTTGTACAAGTTTTGTATAGTTTTTCGGTTGTATAGTGCAACTTTCTGACGCATATTTAAAGGGAGAGGTGCCTCATTTAGTACATTAATATCATCCTCCCGCAACTCTATATTGTATTCTAGCCTGAAAATCAGCCCTTACCACTTCAACAGCTTAAACACATTTTTGGAAAATTTGACCAATTTGATAACTCCTTTCGTAGGATGTTATGAAGCCGTCCCTGTACTGATGAGGGTCATAGCCAGAAACCATGGTATACAGGTTATCTTATTGTCTGAATTTGTCAAAACTGGTGTTTTTTTTTTTAATGAGAGCCTATTTTAAATATACAGTTAAACCTATCTATAGCGCCCCCTCTTGGGACTCACCAAAATAGGGTACTATAGAAAGGGGGTACTATATACAGGTCACTTTTAATGTAAATTGCATCGTACTACGTATTTAAAATCGGGCGCTATAGAGAGGGGGTGCTATATACAGGTCACTTTTAATGTAAATTGCATCGTACTACGTATTTAAAATCGGGCGCTATAGAGAGGGGGTGCTATAGACAGATCACTTTTAATGTAAATCGCATCGTACTCCGTATTTAAAATCGGCCGCTATAGAGAGGGAGGCGCTATTTAGAAAGGGCGCTATAGACAGGTTTAACTGTATTTCAAATTTTTAATGTAAATCAAATGACGTTAAAATATCAATATGTTTCAGAACAATTATTTTGGCTCAGTTCTTTGGTGGTTTGATATTTAAAGGTATGTGAAACTTGAAATAAATTAAGTATTTCAAAAAGGTATATAAACAAACGATATATGAAAATTCAACTGACAAATTTGATGTATATCCCTGTGATAAGCTACAGATCAATTATTAGGCCTTCTACATGCTTTAGGTCAAGCATTCTAAGGCAAAACTCATCATTGGGTGTCGCCAAGCCCTCGCGGCGGGGGAGGGCCAAGGAGTGTGATAAGCTACAGATTTTTTTATTCGAGTAGAAACTATGTCTTCAAATAAAGAAGGATTATTATTAAAATGAAAAAAATCAGGTTTCCAGTGATAATATATTTTTAAAGATTTCATTCACATATCTCTAGCTGTTTTCGAACAATTGTATCTTGTGTTTTTCTCCTGTAGAAGGGTTTTCATGACCGAAAGCTAGAGATTTGTGAATTAAAATGTTCTAAAAGAAACTTATATCCCTGCAAGCCTGATTTTTTTTACCCTAATATGTAAATAAGGGATTATTCTATTGAAAAAGGAGATTGTAAGTTTATTTGTAGACTACATACGTAAGCTGTTAGTTCCCTTTTGATGCCATTGTACAGCGGGGAGGTTGAGTGGGATGGGAGGAGATTAGTGTCTGGGCTCATCATTAAGTCATTATCGGGGAGTCATTAGGAAGTGGTGTGTGGGACCTACGCTAGAGGTCGTGGTGTCATGGACAGAGAATCTGGGACATTGGTGGAGTGTTGATTGGTCTGTTTCATCCCTGGGTGTGTTGTGTGATTGGTCTATCTTAACTTAGGCCATGTTGATTGGTTTATTTAAACCTTGTTCTTGTTTATTGATCCATCTTAACCTGGTGTTTGTTGATTGGTCTGTTTAAACCTTGTTCATGTTAGTTGGTCCATCTAAACCTGGTGTTTGTTGATTGGTATATTTCAACCTTTTTCATGTTCATTAGTTCTACTTATCCTGGTGTTTGTTGATTGGTCTATTTCAACCTGGTGTTTTTTTATTGGTGTATTTCAACCTGTGTGTGTGTTTTGATTGGTCTATTTCAACCTGGTGTTTTTGATCGGTCTATTTCAACCTGTGTGTGTGTTGATTGGTCTATTTCAACCTGGTGTTTTTGATCGGTCTATTTCAACCTGTGTGTGTGTTGATTGGTCTATTTCAACCTGGTGTTTTTGATCGGTCTATTTCAACCTGTGTGTGTGTTGATTGGTCTATTTCAACCTGGTGTTTTTGATCGGTCTATTTCAACCTGTGTGTGTGTTGATTGGTCTATTTCAACCTGGTGTTTTTGATCGGTCTATTTCAACCTGTGTGTGTGTTGATTGGTCTATTTCAACCTGGTGTTTTTTGATTGGTCTATTTCAACCTGTGTGTGTGTTGATTGGTCTATTTCAACCTGGTGTTTTTTGATTGGTAAATTCAACCTGTGTGTGTGTTGATTGGTCTATTTCAACCTGGTGATTTTTGATTGGTCTATTTCAACCTGGTGTTTTTTGATTGGTCTATTTTAAACTGTGTGTGTGTTGATTGGTTCATCTTTACCTGGGGTGTGTGATTGAAAGTTAAAAAAAAAAAACACCTTTAACAATTTCACTTACAAAACACGATACCTATTTATACTTTTTATTATCACTCTCTTTTTTTGTTATATTATTTTTAATTTATATTCCGAAATAGCAGAACCTGACTTGCGAAACCGTTGAGAGGGTTCATCATTGATGAGCCAAGCCCCTTCTCATCTAATAATATATATTATTAGAAACATATTGTTAAATGTATCGCCGATAGATGTTCCAAAACCACTTTATTCGGTACCGCTCAACAAGAGCAACCTAGTTTATGATATTTGAAACAATGAATCCCGCGTTGGACCCTTTGTTTTAATATGTGAATAACCCTCACATATTATTCATTGTTACACATATACACACACAAAGCTTTATTAAGACCACCGGTCGTATTCAATGTTACAAATATCATAAACTATGTTGCTCTTTTCGAGCGATACCTAATAAAGTGATTTTGGAACAAGAAGAACAAGTACTGTAAGAAACCAAGAGTGAAACTACCGATTGGTCAACCGTGACCTCAAAAGTTTTCTTGTTCAGCCCGAGGAAATGGTGGGAGTACCCGCGGGGCATTCTTTCTCCCTTTCCTTGTCCCCACTGTCGTTCTTCTCTGTTGTGTGTCCACTTGGGATCTATTTGTCAACTCCTCTGGTTTTCTTCCAAATTTTATGTTTCTTTAATATCTTTTACGCCCTCTTATATAAAGGGATTGGTAAAGTAATAGTATACACTCTCATGGACAAAAAATTAAGTGGAAAGTCTTTAATGTCTTTCTCTTTCTTAAGCAAATTCTGTTTTAGCGACCCCTGTCTTAAGAGGATTCTGTCTTAATTGGACCCTGTCTTAAGTGAACTCTGTTTTAGCGACCCATGTCTTAAGCGAATTCCGCTTTAAGCAGAACCTGTCTTAAGCGGATTCTGTCTTAATTGAACCCTGTCTTGAGCTAATTATGTTTTAGCGACCCCTGTCTTAAGCGAATTCCGTCTTAAGCAGACCCTGTCTTAATAAAATC